TATGCTCTAAAAAAGCCATAGAAAGATAATTGGGCAGTATGCCTTTTCAATGAAACTAAAAAATTGAATAATAACTTTAACTCATCAAAGGCTTCTTTTTGTTCCTTCTTCTATTGATAGAGACATCATTCATTAATAATCAATATAGCAGCGCAGCTACCTTAGCAAAGTCTTTTACAAATCTACGGTAAAAGCCTGCAAGTCCTAAAAATCCATGTAAGGCTTATACATTCTTTGGTTCAGGGAAGTCCTTTACTATCTTTATTTTTTACTCTGCCATGGCTACACCTTTTTCACTGATTTCATGTTCAAGATACATAATTTGCTTTTGCTCAAAAAAATACTTGTTTGGGTTTAACTTCAGATTGGCTTCTTGCAGCCTCTTCAACATAACATCGGCGTGGAGTAAATGCATATTATAGTCCAGCGAATATATGTTTACATCATCAATGTAAGCCAGAGTGAACTTCCACAATTCCTTACGCAAGACATGATCCATTAACCTTTGGAAAGTGGCTAGTGCATTCATTAATTCAAAAAGCATTACTACGAATTTGTAAAGGCTGAACTTTGTAGTAAATGCTGCTTTTTTCTGGTCTCGAGGGTGCATTCCGACTTGCCAGAAACCACTTGCAAGATCCAGTATCATATACCAGGTAAACTTTTTCAGGCTCCTAAGAGCTTGTTAATTCGGGTTAAAGGGTAACTATCCCATTTTGTTTTCTTGTTCAATTTTCAAAAGTCAATGCAAAAGCATAACTTTCCATTCTTTTTTTTCACCAGGACGACCAGGGACACCCACAAACTATTCGAGTCCAAATTAGACCAGACTTTTCCATCTGCTGAATTTCTTGCCCAATAAATTCAAGTTCGACTTTGGGTGTAAGATAGAATCATTGCTTAATTAATGGCCTCTCTTCTGTATGGATTTCATGCTGCATGACTGTCATTCAACCCAGCTCACAGAGTTTCCGCACAAAGAGACCCTGGTGCTTCTTTAATAGTTCTTCAAGACAGCTCTTTTGTTTGATCATCATTTCCTCTATATTCAAGTTATTATTCAATTTTTTAGTTTCATTGAAAAGGCATACTGCCCAATTATCTTTCTATGGCTTTTTTAGAGCATA